TAGCTTCTTAACAAGTAAACCAGATAACATTGATGTAGAAGGTTTGTGAACCACAGTTTAAGAAACACTTTTCTAGTCTGTTTGTATTTAGCAGCACTATTCCGAAAACTTCTTTTGACTCAACAACAAGATAATGCCAGCATTAAACATGAGGACATAACACAACAAAAAGAGTAGTCATTGTAATTTTAAATATTTAAATATTTCTTACTATTATTTTTATACCATATATAAATATGTTTATATATACCAGATCCTGGCCCAGACCTGACTGTCCACTTTGTAGAGGAGCAGAAGCACTGACATGAAATATATATTTAAATTTTTAAACTGCTGCAAATATACATTCAAATTTAAGGAAAGTTTTAAAAATGAACATATATACACACACACACACACACATATATATATACCATAAATCTTATAAACCATAAAAATACATATTATATAAATATAATTTTTCCCAAATTCCAAGTTTTTGATTCAATTTCAGTTTCAAGATAACAGAGATGTGCTGAGTTCTGAACCAAAATGTGGATCAGAGCTACAATTATCCTAGATCCTGACATGGTAGAATCAGCAGGCTAGGTGTGGGAGTGTGAAGTATGTGTGTGGGAAGAGGCAATTGTTAAATCAAATGAATTCTGCAGCTGAATGTGAGGTTCCATCTCTAATTATGACACGGGGAAATTTTTTCACATTTTCTCTTCTCAAATTATAAAAGATATCCTTCTTATTCTAAGGATGTCATACATTTGCATATCAAACAAAAAAGAGATTTTATGTCAGTGTAAGAAAAATTTTAAAAGATGAATTTATTATAGTTTAAATACAAACTTAAGGAGTCTATTGACTAAAGCTGCTAGTAATTCCCGTTGCTTATATTCTTTGAAATGTCTTTTGCTGTGGAATAACATAAAACATTTACTTAAAATTCCCTATGAATGCCATATACGCAAGTTACTGTCTATTCAATTCATTTTGAGCATTTATTCTGAATTGAGTATTATAGGGGAGCCAAAAAGAACTACAGTGATTCTTGCATAAAGATAGACATGCAGCAATCATTGTATATAAAGTCGTTAGTTATGGTAGTGTAATTATTATGTTAAT